GGAGTTATCATGTTATATTTAGTTAGTATATATATATATATGTATACATATTTATATATATTCATATATATATATATATATATATATTTATGTATATTTATATATACATATATATATTTATATTTATATATATTTATATATATATGGATATATATATATAAATATAAATATAAAGTATATTGTTTTAAATTTTTATTATTTTTATTAGTCTGATAATTATCATTATTAATATTATTTCTGTTCGTATGTATTTATATTGTTAATTAAAAAGTAGACATATTTTCTTGATCGAAACTGTCATGAAGTTATACAGGATGTACGTACATGTTTGAAACTGTCATGAAGTTATACAGGATGTACGTACTTGTTTGATACTGTCATGAAGTTATACAGGATGTACGTATATGTTTGTTTCTGTGTACATTGTCTCTCAGTATTTGAACGTTACACGGGTTTACCTTGCATCCATGTATATGTTTATAAATATCGTAACGTCCATCCTCATAAGTCGTGCTGAATATCCAAATATACTGCACCGCCTTTTCCTGGTTTATGCATTCTTTACAGATGACGCGGGAAGCGAAGTTATTCAAATATGCTGAACGCGGATCTGTGCGCAAAGTTCTGAAGTGTTTGGATCGCAAACACGCAAGCTATCGTATTGACGATCAAGACCGGGATGGCTACACCTGCTTGCACTATGCCGCTCGGTATGTGTACGAAGTCGCGTACGACATCTATAGAGATATATTCAGGGTTTTATTTTTGTGTATTTATTAGTTATCACAATCCCTATATGTTGGTATTGAGGTATGTGTCACTTCATTGAAGTTTTACTATTACCGTTGATGTATGTTGCTCTTATGGCAATCGGAGTTACTTATTGCGAGTTTTAGCACTTAATCCATCGTATTAAAATCATATTTCTACTCAGCCTTGCTTGTGCCATTATATAGAGGCAATGCATATAGTACTCTGTTGGGTTTTGTATATGTATATGCTTTTACATATACCCATGCACGTGTGCATGCGTCCTAATACTCGTATATCTCCTCAAATACATCTGGTATCGCGTTTCTTCTCAGGTGGGGCCATTCAGATCTTGCCCGGGCGCTGCTTAAGCGCAAAGCGAATCCCAATATACAGACAGACGATGACAAGGATACCCCTCTGCATATGGCGCTTGTCTATCACCATAATTCGGTCGCAGAGCTCTTAGTATGTAATAGGAGCGTACATACAGACCTGCCCAATACAAACGGAACGGTGTGTGATGCACTGCTTGGTCCAGAGCTATCATATCTCAAGCGATCGCGCAGTACTGCGAACGGTGCTACAGTCGGACAAACACGCCAATATGTAAAATCAAATAGACCTGATAAGAGACGTAGATCTGTCGACAGTAGCACAGAAGGCGTTGGGGAAAGTTCACGCGAAGGTGGCAGCCACAAAGAGCTGCATAGCGTATCCCGACTGGACACCAGACATGGGAGGAGAAGCAAACGTAGAGTGAGTGATTCGCGGTCTGAGCACGATGAGTCGGCTTACCATAAGGGACCTACGAGTAATATTGACAGCGACCGTTCCGGTAGTGTAGGCAGATCTCGATCTCGAAGATCCAAACACCCCGCACCACTACGGGCACGCGCACAAGGAGGTACAAGACCTACTAGCAATCCACCATTAGATTCGTCACGGGATAAGTCATCACCGAACACTTCACCTGTGATCTATTCAGCATACAACTCGCCTCCAGCGGCTTGCTTGGATACAAACGACAAGCGGCGACACAGTGCGCAGTCATGTGGACAATACAGTTCAGACACAACCCGTGAACGAGACTCTGAGTGGACTCAACAGGACTGGGAGGAGGACTTGAAAGAGACTGAGGCACGCCGTTTTGCCGAGGACAAACGCCGGTTAGACGAGGAGAGGTATTACGAAGCCTTAGAACGCGAGTTCAAAGACGACGATTATGTGGGGAGACTGGACAAGTCGCCGACAGAGGTAGCGCAACAGAGGAACAGGCAGGACTGGCATGAGAAGTTGATGTTCGAGATGGGGCATGATTATAATGCTGAACCCGGTTTTCGTGGAATGGATGCGTATGAGGAGGGTTATACGGGGTCAGCGGGAACGCACGCGGAAACAGGCGCGGATGATTGGATGGAGGCAATCATAGAAGAGAGACGCCAGAAAATGCAGCGTGTGCGGGACGCGGAACAGCGCGAGAAAGCCAGATTTGCTAATCGGAAGCGTGGTGCTGGTATTGGACATGCCAATAGTGGTGAGGATGAGTCCGTACACGACGGTGGAGGTGTGGACGATAGAGAGCGTGAAAGTAAGCGTAGACGCGAAGAATCGGACCGGATCATCCGTGAACAGGAGGCAGAGACATTAAAGAAACGTCAAGGAATGTGCGCGGAGCTCAGATTGGACTACGAGCGCAGGTGGAATGAGTTTGTTAATAGGAATAGCGTGACAGTCTCAGTCAGAGTACAACACTCTTTGGCCACGGACACTACGCCTGACGTCCCAGCGACAGATGCTCATGTCGGTGCGCGAAAGGCAAATGTAGGTGCAAAACAGAATGCTTCCGAAGCTGAAACGAAGTTGCTCACCTACGACAGCATTCCCTGGCCTTATGTTGATCCTATAGACACGCCTCTCGAGATGACAAAGCGGAAACAGAAATCTGCTCGTGCACCTCAAGCGTCACCTGCGATGCAAAACGAAAAGCTGATGGAGATGGAAAAGGCTATACTTGTGATGGGTGTGAGTAAGATTGAGGGAGCGGAAAAGCACAAGTCTCGTATCAGGTTGGAACAGCGACGGTGGCATCCGGACAAATGGCCAGAGGCACTGCTGAATCTAGCTGATAGGGACAGGGTGCTACAACGTGTGAAACAAATTGCTCAGATGTTGAATTCCGAGGCGTGAAGCCATGGTCTATAGACCATACTAATTATTATATAATGATGGAAGCTTCCGATGTAGACGTTCATGCTATGCATCATAACGGTTTACCTTCTAGAGAGTTTGGAACAGTTAGACTGTCATTAAAAAAATATTGAGGCAAGATAGTAATGACTGCACTTATTCCTTATACATACATTATACTTTGCCCTTATACATACATTATACTTTGCCAAGGACCACCATACACTACATAATCCAATAAAACCACTTACTTTTGCTTATTAAGGCTCTTATTTACTCTTCATTCAATATATACTTTGAGTCCGGAGTAATGGAGTTCTATTCTAAAAATAAATCACTACTACATACATTGATAAAATGTACTACATAGTCTCCTAAAAAAATAAAATAAAACAAAATTGTTTTGTTTTATTTGTTATATTATAAAAATGATATATATTTTTATATACACTATGTATTATGTTTGTTTTTAAAATACAAATACATTAAAAGTTATTTTTAAAACAAAAACTGTATTTACCGTGTATTTATTAGTAGAAACAACAAAACTATTGGTTTACCACACGACTATTTATAAATAATTACTCTCGCATCTGTCATTCGCAAAAATGAAAAACGTTCAGATCTGAGATCTGGGATCTCTGTCGCTCCAAATGCACGTAACCTTTACCCCCATGTCCTACATACACCGTACACACTAAGGACTCGAATCGATGAGTACATCACATGGTCTGGAGTGTGCATACCCTCACTCGCTCTCTCTCTCTCTCTCTCTCTCTCTCTCTCTATCTCTCGCTCTCTCAGCTTTTTCACTTTGTAGTTTGTAGGGGATTCGGCAGTGACAGTGTGACACATTGCGTGTTGTTGTTTTTTAAATGTTTGCGCAACTATAAAATTTGATGATTCGGATCCAGTAAACACATAAAAAGTTGAACTGCAAAGTTAAAACAAACAAATCACTACAATCTAATAATGACCAAAAAAAACTCTTATCTAGCCCCGTGCTGATGTGCCTAGCTGCTGCTGTTGTCTATGGCTTGCCCCTCAACAAGACGAATGTCAATGCTGTTGTCGTTGAAGAACACCTTGCCACCGGTACGTTTTTAATTCATGCAAATACGTGATTCAATCTATTTTCCATTGGAAAGGGGTATGTACATGTGTGGCTTGACTGATTCTTCAATTTGAGCGCTTGACCAAAACTATAGTCCTGTTCACTGACTTTTAAATATGTTCATGTTCGTATAGGTGACTTGAGCTTACCCGATGGCTTCATGTTTGGCTCGTCCAGTGCTGCGACTCAAATTGAAGAAAATAATACAAATACCGACTGGTGGTGGTATGGAGCTCCCGAGGCGGATGGGAGTCTGGGCAAGCTGAAGAACCCTGTCGGTGACGCAGCCATGAGCTACAGTATGACGTCAGAAGATATATATCTTATGAAAGCGATGGGTCTGAATTCATACCGTTTTTTCCATCGAATGGGGTCGCGTCTGGCCGAATGGCCCAAACGCCAGTTATGATAGGGATGCTAATGCACATAATCGTAAGCAGATTGTTGATATGAAAGCCGTCAGCGTTACGCCTATGGTGACCATCCACCACTTCTCGAATCCTATTTGGGTGGAGGACTTCGCTCACGCGAATTCAACATCAAGTGGACCCGAAGACTGCACCTCCACCGATATCAATCTGTGTGGATGGGCTGGTCCTAATCAAGCCGCCATCATTGCAGCGCTCGTTAAGCACACAGAGTTGCTTGCCACTGAGTTAGGAGACGTTGTCGATAATTGGTGCACAATCAGCGAGCCTGTCAATTATATTTTGGCCGGTTGGGGACTTGCTGCATTTCCCCCGGGACACAGCTATCTGATGGATGGACACATGGTAGATTTTATGGATGTATTCCGAGGCTTCCTTGAGGCTCACTCTCAGATGTATGACGTTCTCAAGGCTAAAGATACCATCAGTGCCGCTGATGATGGAGTTGCAGCTAATGCAGGGAATACGCTTTCTGTGGCTGAATGGGTACCTACTCACGCCAACAACTTCAGCAGCGACCCTGTTGATGTAGCTGCGGATAATAACATAGAGTACGTTTACAATCACTTCTTTACTCAGTCGATCCTCGATGGTACGTTCGATGCTAGCTGGTCTAGAAATACAAGTACCTTTGAATCTCATCCCGAGTGGAAAGGTAAACTTGATTTCGTTGGTTTACAATACTATTTCCGTGCTGGTATCACTGGCTCACCTGCCCTTCTTGCTTCCGTGCAAGGAACGCCTTGCATGCCTGGTTCTTGGCTCGATATAGGCTCGTGTTTACCTGCCCCAGAGGATCCTAATCACTGGATACCAAGTATGGGTTATGAATACTGGAAAATGGTACTTACAACATCCTCACTGCGTACAAAAACAAATACCCTGGCCTGCCAACAATTATTACTGAATCTGGTATTTCCGCCAACAACGGCGTGCGACGATCTGAGCACGTTGTGAGAAATCTCGAACAAATTCACCGGGCTATGGCCGATGGGGCTGATGTGCGCGGATATTTTCATTGGTCACTTACAGACAATTTCGAGTGGGCGGAAGGTTACGATCCCCATTTCGGTCTGTACCGAATGGCAGATCCCTACAACGAAGACTGCTCACGTGTCGCGACTGCCGGCGCCTTCACTTACAAACAGATTTTGCAGAATATTGGCACAGTAACAGCCGCTCTCCGTGAGAAGTATGGAGGTTATGGCCCCATGACGCCAGAGACAGAGAAAGTTGGAGACTTCCCTGACGCCCCCCCCCCCAGCAAACATAACCTATTAAAGACCACGCCGCGTCCGTAGCCAGCCTAGTAGAATCAGTTGAGATGCAGGCTTGAATGGAAGAGTGTGTTGTTGATGCCACTGTATCAGCAACCTTAAACACATGGTACCTGCTCGGATGTTGTAGCTATGGGTAGGTGGGGCTCTGTTAGGATCATTTAGAATTCGTCGGTGAAGTAAAAATGGGTTCAGGTTGTGCTGGAGCTCCTTTGGCGAAGGTTGATAACCCTATGACCAAGTATATGTGTGTATTTCGGTCACCCTCACATCTTTGAAGGTGACATGTCCATCTACCTCTATTGTTCAAGTTTCCAGTGAATCTGAAGCTGGTGTTGATGCCTTATGCATTTCAGTCGAGGTACCGACTTGTATGAGTGAATGTGTGTGTGAAGCTATCATGTCGACACTGTTAGCCATGGGCGGTGCCTGCAAGAACATTAAAGTTGTGAATGAGGATGGATCTGCACCCGTGGAAGTTTTTGTTTGTACTTTAAGTCATTCCAATCGATACTCTCAAAGTGTACGCATATAACAGGAATACCGGAATTAGTATAAAAAAACTACCTCAATCTAAAACCGCGCGCAATAAATATGAAAGTCGTCTCGGACTCTTGGGTCACAATACTTTTGTTCTACTACCTTAAGGTTGTTGTTGCTAGTCACCAAAGACAAGCGAACATGCCACTCTCTGCGTACGTGCCGGGCTTTCAAAAAGTTTACTAGAAGCCTTAGCTGTAAAGATATTCATAAAGCTATCCATTAAAATGACTAGAACGAGTACTACAGGATGGAATCGATGTGGCAGTTTTGGTAAATATGCAGCAAAATGGTTGACCCAAACCCTAGCGAGCTTCCTAAAGCAGATCAACATTGCAACCACTCTCGAAACTGATATTGTCAGATATTCCGCCATTTAGCGTAGCGCGGAGGATCACTTGCGGGGTTTGGGTGTAAAGCCACTCTGGCGCATACCAACCTTCTTCTACCAGTACAGAATTCAAAGCAACCGTATTTGGGTTCAAAACTATACTTTACAGTAAATTGTCCGATAGGACTTAGGTTTATAAACTGGCAGACATCTTTTAGGCATCTTTTGATTTTCACATTCCAGAACATGGGGGAACTCGCCTCAAGGACCTACTCTACTACTAGCGAGAGGTAGAAGGGCGGCCTCGAGAGAGTACTGAGTAGAGAGAGGCTCGGGGTTCGACGGTTCGTTCAAATTTCAAAGCAACATAAAAATCCGGGTGGTTTTGTTTTGTTTTTTTAAACTAAAACAAAATATTAAAAAAGCATTTTTTTTTTGTATGTATGACTAATAATTGAGTACATAGTGAATACTGAATAGTGATGACACCGACAAAAAAAACTTTAATTTTATAGGGTGATTCACGGTTGATTTTATTTATAGTCACCACGTTTCTAAGGTAAAAACTAAACCAGTAAATCTCTGTCCAATAGAAGTACACAATTCATACTATAGTAAATTCCAGTGTACTGGTTGGTCGAAACATCGCTTATAATTTCCTCTTTGTATACTATATCTAATATCTGTATATATTAGTTCAAATCAATAGCAGTTATAAAAAAAATGTTATAGCAATCATGCATCTATCTACATACATTTTGTAAATACAATATGATTTACATCAACGATCTATTATGTTCCATTATTTTTAGAAATATCTCAATGTTTTCCAAGATTTGTTTTGTTTTCTCTCTTCTGTGTATACACATCACAAGAGAAGAGTGGAAGAATAATGAACGTAAATAAATATGTATTCACATCAATAATTCTATGTACAAAGTGTATTTTACACTTTTACGTGTATTTATATTATATATTTACAATTATACATGTGCTCGATACTTAATTAATGGCTGCAGACTGCAAAACAGACAGTAAAGCTCGGAGGCACACATCACGTTCGGAATTTTACTGAACAGTCACGACTTCCGGAGTTTTCAGCGATTGGCCATAAACTTATTCACATGCTCGCAACACACATCCCTCATCCCTGACCTAGGCTGTCGAATCGCAAAAGGCCGATGGGTTGCGGTTTTCAGGAGCACCATCTCGAATATCATGCGGGAATCGATTCGGTGGGGTTGCTAGAGCTCCAGACCATTATCAAGAAGAGGCTATGCACAAACGCTCGTCACTAGTTCACTCCGACACTAAGACTTGCTTGTATCTCTCATTTCGAGACCATCCCAGATTTGATAACAATACTCAAGTAAATAGACTAAATTAGATAAACATAGTCTGCAGCTTATAGCCAAACACTTTTATACGAAGTGATACGAAGTTCGAGACGCCACATCCAATAACCGATTTCGTACAATCTTGCAACGCTCACTCGGTTCTAGATTGTATGTGCAAGGTAAAGCTGTATCTAAAGTACAATACATACCATGAATGAAGTCTACCATACAGATATGAACACATTCGTGCAGACTAATAATGATCGTGGAGGAACATGTTTCCTCCCACCACAAACATCAATAAGGCAATGGATACTCCAAAGCGAAGAATTGCAAGTGGTAGGAGCTGCAAGTGCGGATACTCAACAACACTTTCAACTACAGCAGAAGCGAGTACGTTTCGATCCAGGCCCTGATCATGTACATGAAACATACGAGAAATACACACATTATTTTAGTGAGTATGATCGTCGACCCTTCGCTAAACGTTCACAAAAGACTCCGAAACAAATACGAGATATCTTCGAAGAAATTGAAGAACTACGTAGAGAGTTGTTTATGGGCCAGACTAGCTTCCCTGTTCTCACTGAAGCTGAGATAGAAACGGAGATAGATACGGAGGACTCTAGTTCTAGTATGGATGGACTGACCATGCACGTGAATGCTAATGCACAAAGAGAAGTGCATGCAATAGCACAAGCGGTTACACACGCACATGTACATGTGGATATGGATGTGCAAAGTAGCGTGAATCAGGACCAGATGGGAGAGGACAATCTGAGCGGCAGTGAGAGTGACGGCCTCAGCGGCTGCGTTTCAGAGCAGGAAGATGAACTGCTAGATTCCAAATTTGGAGGCAACCAATTGAGACGGTTTACCTATGCGTCTAACGCTAGTGTAGCGTCGACGCCAAAAGAGTTGTCCAGTACCTACACGAGCGAACAGTCAGCTCCTCAGCGGCAGCAGTCTCGCAAGTATGTAGATCACGCACGTGCTATCAGCACACATGTTCCGCACACGCGTGCACGGACACAGGACACTCTACAGATGCAGATGCGTAAGCGCTCTATATCCAATCGTGCCTTGCTGGTATGCGACAGCGTGACTAATCTCAGACGATTCAATAGCGTAGGCCACACCACCAGATATGATAATGTGTTTGGTGTGACCCCCAATGTTAATACACATTGTATGGACCAAGAAACGAGCACGCAGCATGAGAATCAGAGTGTGCAGAATCAATCTCCGAGTCTAGGCAGTGTACACATGGCACAGTGCATGCGTCAATCATCTGAAACAAACTGCACTCTAAGCGGTAAGAAAGTGTATAGCAGCAATCATGCCTACGATATAAATAGACGCGTAGATCATGCAGAAGCCCCGAGCTTTCGTTGGAGGAAGCAGAGTGGATTCAGTGGTGACATTGCATACATGGATCTCCGGGAACATGTGCGCTTACCGCAACAAACTCTAATATCAGAGACACTAGAGAGTGAGACCAACAGTCAAGCGTCCCTAGCTGAGATGCTCGCTCAGAATGTAGATACAGATATGGATACGAGTAGGGGATATGGAAAGGATCTGAGAATACAAAGAGATATGTGGGGCCGTACAATAGTCCATCCAGTTTTCTTAGACAAGGAAGTGGAGAGTGGTATTGACACCGATAATAGTATGGGCAGATCAGATAGTAGAAACGTTAGTTGCTCACCCAGCGAATCCATGCGATCAGGTTCGGATACAGACATGTAGGTCGATATTTATTAAAAGTGTACACATGCAGCTATACAGCTGAGTCCCACAGCCACATACATTAACAACTTTTGCTGTAAATTTTTTTTGGTGTGCCAGCGGTGTAAGTGAGAGTTTTGCGTGGTGATAGACAGCAGTTGGTGACATTGATGTGTGACGTTGGCATGCAGACTTCGACTTGTATGGTTAATAGCATTCCAAAAACTTTTAAAGAAATGTAAGTGGAGATGAACGAACATATCCTCTTATATGTATATATATATTTACTAAACAACAAACACACACACACACACACACACACGCACAGATACACGCACACACACACACACACAC